TGTAAGTCATGGAATTATGATTTCTAATTAGCATAATTAGAAAAGCAAGTGTCAATTGCTTGGCGGTTATTATAGTGATTATTATTATTATTATTATTTATGAAGAAGGCTTAGCATTAATCAAATAAACTAAACTAATCTAATTTATAATTACATTAATATTAAATACTTTATTAAGTTTGAACAGTTCAACTGTAAAGTTTTAAATCTAAATCATAATCCTTTCGTATTGAATTAAATTAATAAAAAAGAGAGTTACGTAATAAAAAAATAATAATAATAATAATAAGAAGAAGAAGAAGAAGAGGAAGAAGAAGGGACGTTCTTCCTACCCGACACTTTCTTACCAGAATCCAATATTTTTGATAATTAATTTTCATCAAAAATCGATAATTTTCATTCAGAATAGAATTTTGGCGGGTTAAAGGGAATTTGATCAGCTTCTGAAACAATCTCCCGCCATTGCCTTTTTAATTTGCTTCATCCGTACACTTCGACTTCCTCGCCCGTCCATACTCCACTTCATCTGCATTCCCTTCTTCTCTCTTTCCCCTTCTGTCGACCACAAAATGAAGCAAAAATGGCATCACCTGGAGAAGATGGCCAGCGAACTCAAGTGCCCTCTTTGGTATATATTCTTTTTTTCTAGGTTACTCTTGTACTCCATCTCGAAATTCATCTAATTCGAGCAGATTAGCTTGATTAAGGGTTTTTATTTTTATAATTTTGTCAATATTACGTTTTCTGCAGCTTGAGCCCGTTGAATTCTGCCCCCAAAATTTCAGAGGAAGAATAAATGAAGAATCTGATATCTGCAACTCTAAATACAACATTTCAGTGTGTGCATCATGAAATCGCTGAAATCAAGGTCCAGTTGCCTAGTTTGTAAAGTCGCCTACCGTCATAGAGGTATGATTAATTCTGTAATTGATTGAATATATATGAAATTGCATTTCTGAATTTTGTGAAGATTTTTATGTGTTTTAAACTTCCATTATTTTGCCTCTAATCTCCAGTTTTGTCCTTGAAATTTTTACCTGCTTCTTTTGGACTTCTTATTTCTGAAAGTATGATTCTTAGTTAGTATTGTTCTCTTAGAATCAGTATGTGTGTTTTTCTTCAGAGTTTCGTCCTGCTCCTCACATGAATAACTTGGTGTGCATTTACAGAAAGTATGGAAATTGCATCAGGGGTTAATGTCAAACAACTGCTGAAAACATACAATTTGTTTTCTGTCATTCTTCAGAAGAAACTGAGGTTAGCGCTTGGTTGAGTTCTTTGTCGTATAATTTTCTACTATTTTACCCCTGGTAAACGTATCTGTTAAATAATCTGCCTGGATGACACGTCTTAAAGCGGGAAACAATGTTGCAGGCTGCAGGTGAGAAGATCCATTACATTAATGGCAAGCCTGTTGCTCAATATTGCAGTGGTAGCTCCGTGGTCATACATTCACACGAGTATTGCACTGGTAAAGGAATTTTCTTAACCATTATATGTTTAATTTTATTGAGTAAGTCTGGTTAAACATGTTTGACCTAAAAACTAAAAAGCTGGCAACATTTTTGTTAACATAAAAGACTCTTTGAATCTTCAAAATTGTTGCATTGAAACTAGTGATTAGTTGGTTGAATGCTCTAATGTAAAATATCTGTGGATAGAGGATTTGGATTGGATATGTTACATGCTTTATCCATGTGGTTAAGTGGTTTTTAATTATGTAGTTTTTAAACCTCATGTTTTTTAAAAGTTGCAACCAGTGTTAGTAGCCTATTACCTCGTCAGCTTCTCTATTGAATTTTGAACCCACATGGATAATCAAGTTGTTATTGAAAATGGGGTCAGTTTGCAACTGAAACAGATTACCTGCATATTGCATCACAAATTAGTTATTTGTTGTTCTGCTCTCACAGTTGAAGAGAAGGTATGTGAACGTGGATTTTAGTTTTATATGCTTTGCTGGAATTCATATAATGATAAACAAAACTAGCAATTTTCTTAAATACCTGAACTACAGGACATTGTTTCTGAATTTGAGGAGTCATCTGGAGTTACAGTGTTGAAGAAATGGAATTCAAGTATCACGCATGTCATTGCATCTACAGATGAAAATGAAGCATGCAGAAGAACACTCAAAATTTTAATGGGTGTCTTGGAGGGGATGTGGATATCGAATATTGCATGTTAGTATTCCTGTTGCCATAAGCTAAACATAGCATGTCAGCTGAGGATGCATACCTTACTCAGGTTATATTCCACCTTCTTATACTCTCTGCAGGGGTCAAGGCTTGCCTGAAGTCCATGGAACTGGTTGATGAAGAAAATGTGAAATGGCCGTGGATTCTCTGGGGGACGGTCCATGACTTGGAAGACTAAGACTTCTAAACAAGGTTTTCATCTCCTAACCTAGTCAGTTTTATCCTGATCAGGTAACCTGGATATCCCTATAGAGGCACATTCACATTTCATTTCTATTGCTTGCATGTATGTCTCTCTTTAAAACTGACAGTTTTCATTGCCATATCTATGCAGCAACCAAAACTTTTTGATGGGTTTAAATTCTACCTGATGGGAGATTTCGTACCCTCATATAAGGGATATCTACAAGACCTACTAATTGCTGATAGTGGAACCATTCTACACAGGAAGCCCAATTCAGGAGATCAAATCAAAGAGTCCCATTGTCCAGCTCCTCTATACCTTCAACCTACATAGTTTACAGCCTCCAATTGCCCCATAATTATGATCCCAGCCAAAAAGATACAATCTTGAACCAGAGGCAATCCAATGCAGAGACACTGGCAACTTCAATCAGACCCAAAGCGGTAAGCAATTCCTGGCTCCTGAACTCCATTGCTGCATTCAAACTACAAAAATTTCCCTATAATAATTAAGGAAAATGTATTCTTTCCCATTTTATTGTCCTGTATGTGTAAAATATTGCATTCGCTTCTTTATATATCTATTTGGAGAGTAGTATTAAGCTAGAAAATTGAACTAGTTCAATATGATTATATCAAACATACAAAAAATTTTGTACTCATCTTAACAAAGTAGCATAATTCCAAAAGCCTACAAACAGAATTCTTATTATCGGCATTGATCTTATCCTTTGTCACACTCGGATTTTCTTTCAATGTGCTTAGAAATCCTCATCTGAAAACTCTCGAACTTCTCTGCCAATGCCGAAATCTTTTCGTCCATATCTACTGGCTGTGCCTCTTTTGAGGCCAACCTTTGTCGGAAACCCTTTATCCGTCCGATCCCTTCTGAAACTTCCACTCCCATTCCCTCCATTGTTTCTTGAAATCTCTCGTTTTCGTCTCTTACATTTTGATACTTTCTCTTCAAGGATCTGTATGCGTCAAGGGACTTCAAAAGCTGCTCCGTTAGTGTCTTGTTCCTCTCCGTAAGGGCGGCATTCCCTTGCGCCTCTGGGCCGTCGCACTTCTTCTCTATGTGCTCCGCCGCACAAACCTGTACCTTCGCCAACAACGTCTCGTTTTGATTTTTGAGATAATCGATTATTTCCTCTGATTCGTTCAACTCTTGAACCTTCTTCGCTAGCTCCGAAGCCATGATCTCCTTCTCCTTTCCCAAGCTGGAACACATGGCCTCGAGACTCTTTCTCGCCACAAGGGTCGCAGTGAGCTCCTGCCGGAGCCGCTCTTTGTCGTCTGTCACTGGATCCGGAGGCTTCCTATCCCGCGGAACAGTATGGTTCGCACGGAGATCCGTGTTGCACCGCCTCAGTTCCACCATGCTTCGCTTTCCAATCATAGATTGAGATTTCTGAATCCTCGTTCTAACGTCATCTAGAATGGTAATCATTCCGGCCATCCTCTGCGGCTTCCGATCATCTTGTTCTCTAGCACTTGCTTCATTATTTTCTTGAATCAATTTTAGCAGTAGCTTTACATTTGTAGCAAGACCTGAGCAGAAAAACGAACAAAGATCAAACAAAAAGGAAAACTATCATTTTTTTTTTTTTCTGGTTGGCCGAAAAGAAAACTATCAATTAGATGATGCTCCAGCATAGTTGGAGCTCCAAATTTTGGAATATAAGGGAATTTGAGAACATGAATAGATAACAGGTTTATTCTTTATTGTTTTAACACATGATTTATTAATAATTGCATCTCAAGATGGAGATATTGGTTCAAAATTTGAAATGAGTGAAGAGAAATCTTGAGAATATGCAAACAATTAAACATGCTAGAAAACTGCTCATTGCCATTGTGAAGGAATTAAAAAATCATACCATATCCTTCCAGTCTGCTGGAATCTTCAGGATGGTGTGGATCGGGTATTGCTATATAAGGAGAGGACAACACACGACCTCGGTTCATATTTTCCCGAGAAACAAACGGAGGAAAACTATGGACGTTTGGGGGTTATGCTAAAGAGCTTAATTACCATGAAACGGAGAAGAACAAATTAAAAGGGTGTGATTTATATGACGAAGTTTATGCTTTCATTTAAAGATTTTGATGAGTAATATTAAATTGTATAATCAATAATGTGTTCGAGAGATCCAAAAAAGAGAGACTGCTTTAGCACTCCCTCTTTAACTTTTCTTCTTCATCCGATTGTGTAGTAATATTCAATCTCAATTAGGTGGTCGAAGAATGGTTGGTTTCTGGTTGCAAAAACCTCCGAAATAGTCGGCAATCATTTGACTTTTCCTTTGGCCGTTGGATTTGCTTGACCTCTCACACCCCAAACTATATATATAACATAATTAAAATATCCGTACATTGTATTTTGCTTTGTTCTAGTCCGAAATGAAGATCCCCTCTTTGATTATGTCACATGGTCGCCATAGATGAATGCTTGGTTTTGGATCAAACGAAAAATTTTAAGTAACCCAATAATTGAATTGAAATGCATGAATGGCGAAACTGCATTCAGCTGTGTGCATGTGGGTATCCAGAGCAATACGTGGCAGTCAAACTTCGGATGCACAGGAAATCTATTTGGTCAAAAAAAATGGAGGATTTTTTTGAGTTAAGAGTTTGCTTAGATTCTTAAGAATCCTATCTTGATAATGATATTAACTTTTCTAATTCTTCTGCTGATTTTCAATCTTTTGTTTTTTTATTAATTTTGGGTTCTACAATGAATTAAGGGGTAATTCTCATTGCTCTTTTTTACATATCTTATCTTTATATGTTCACAATTTAAATTTAATATATCTTATTTTTATTGGAAGAAGAGTGAGTAGCACTAAAGCATTTAAGTTGTTCTTAACTTTTCTATTTCATTTTTTCTTAACAAGTGGAGAGTAGGATCTAAATGTTTGTCCAAAGGAATTTTGAGGATAAATGGTTTTTTACCATAGAAAGTAATAATTATTTTGTGATGAAAGGAGTAAAATATAGGTTAAATATTAATTTTGGTCCCTAAATTTTAAGGTTTTACATATTTTTTATCCCTCAATTTTTTTTTTGCATTTTTTTATTCCTTAACTATGAAAAATATATTCCTTTAGTCTTCCATCAATTAATCCGTTAAATCTCTACAAATATGCATAAAAATATGCATATATTAGAAGTTGAGGGATTAAAAATATATAGATTCAGATAGATTTAACGAATTGACTAATGAAAGGACTAAAAAAGTATATTTTTCATAGTTGAAGAATTAAAAAAAGTATAAAAAAGTTAAGAGATGAAAATTGTGCAAAACCTTAAATTGAGAGACCAAAATTGACATTTAACCTAAAATATATATATTATAATTATAAATTTATAATATTAAGCAAGATTGTACCTACTATATATTATTTTTGACTTTTCTTGTTAAATTTTCTCTAGCAAGTCTATAAAAACAAAGTTGTAGTAATATCAACATGCAACTTAATTTGGGCATTCGGTCATGCAGTTAAGGAATATTACACCATTTTTTTCAGCCATTTTCTTCCTATTACGTCTGATCAAAACTAACCCACCAAATCACAATCTAAAGGTCCCTAAAAGTTACATGAACTGGGCCACGTTTTGGGCCTACATTTCTCTGTTCTGGAAGGTGTAGTATCTCCATGGGTTGAAGCCCATAAAATGAAGACAACTTAAATCCTTAAAAAATATTCAATCCCAATACCTTTGAGGCCCAATCTACCCTATTCTATTTCCAACTTACTAAACCTTAATCCAATTCAAATACTTGAATAAATTAGAGGCTTCTAATAATTGCAAAAATAAGGAGTTAATGTTACGTTCTGTTATGTAGAACAATTAAATTCCTAGGTAAAACTGTAAAAACTTTTCTTCAAATTTCAAATTTTCTTCTCAGCTCTTCAGTAAAACTCAAACCACCTCTACCATTAATCCCACACCAGCAGTTGTAATCAACGAATCACCTTTTTATGAACCAACTAAAATAAAATCAAAATGCGAACTCTGAAGAACGGGCAACCCGACAATAGAGTATAATTCTGTAAGTGTAAGATTTTAATCCCATGAAAAAAAAAAATTCTTTACTTGTCCTCGTAATAACATTTTTGTAATAAATCTTTGATCCCTCCATAAATTTCACTTTTTCTCCTTTTAATTTTGATATATAAACGTCTTAATTTGAAGCAGTAATCCTGATGATAATAGTTTTGACGAGCTGCTTCAGATCGAGTATTCCAATGGACCACAGCAATCAGCACGATCCGCAGAAACAATTAGGTCAAACGACAGATTCAATGGAAGAGTTGGGTGTTGTCTATTGGTGTATGTAGAGAGTTAGATGTAAAGAAATTGGAGTAGATTAGGAAGGTTTAGGAACTTATTTTAAGGAAAATAGTTTCTATCTTTTTGCAGAAAATATTATTTTCAAGATATAATATCCACTAAAATGAACTTCAACCATTAAAACAAACTTCAATCACTTAAAATCAATATAATAAAATTTGAAAGTAAAGTATAGAAATTCAAGGAAGAAAATAAGAAAACTAAAAATTTCAAGAAGAAAATATTCTATTTACGAGGCTGTTTTATTTTTATACAAATCTCGATAAGTGCTTTTTATACACATTTATAA